AGTTGGAACTTTAACCAATATTGTATCACTTGACTGAAAAACTTACTAATCACCTTTTCCCCAATTAGATTATCAAAATCTTGCGTTTTGAGCTGTACAAACGGGATAAGATTGGTTCTAAAAATAGGGCTTGATACAAACAACAATCTCGAACAAAACCATTCTTTATTTAAGTACATCTTTGGGACCCAAGCTGCTTTTAGGCTACAGTCGACAGATCTCAAATTACGTAGCCCAAGCCCACCGTATTCTTTAGTATTGTACAATGCTTTTCTTTTAACACGTTCAGGGCGCCCTCTCCATATAAACTTAAAGATTTTTTCTTCATATTTTTCGAAAAAGGCAGTGGTCGGCGATGGAAGTGCACTGAACAAAAATATGAATTGAGAAACTATTAATGTATTAACTAAAGTTATTTTTCCCAGAAGAGACAAGGCTTTGCCTTTCCAGGGCTGGAGGGTCTTATCTAACTTCATAAATTTCCGTTCAAAGTTAACCGACACAAGTTCCAAGAAATTTTGCGGAATATGAATCCCTAAAATATCGACTGGACCGTCCGTCCACTGTACAGGCCATGGACATGGTAAGACAAAGTTGGCGCCCTTAAGGGAACCGATACGTAAAATTTTACATTTCTCAAAATTTGGGATCAGACTAGATAACAGGGCAAAAACTTCTATGTCTTTTATTAAGAGCGTATAAAACCCCAAGCTTTGGCTCAAAGGGAAAACTCGAATCATCCGCAAACTGTATAATTTTGGTTTCAATGTTGTGAGTTCTCAATCCTTCTATCGCAGGGTTATTCCTTATCTTATTAGCTAGAATTTCAACACTTAATATGAATAGATAGGGAGAAAGAGGACAGCCTTGTCGGACACCGCGGTACAAAGGAAATGCATCTGAAATATATCCATAATTAATTATTTTACTTGACGTGTCCTGATATAAAACTTTAATCCAATTTACAAATGAATTTCCAAAACCTACATACTCTAATACTTTAAAAATAAAATCTCTTCTAATCTTATCGAACGCTTTTTCAAAGTCCGCTATGAATATCAATCCTGGTTTCTCTTGTTGATAATAATATTCAATTATTTCTAGGATTCTTCGGATACTATCACTTATGCACCTCCCTTCCATAAACCCCGTTTGATCATAAGAGATCAAATTAGACATGACTTTCTTCATACGAAGAGCGATGCATTTTGACAGTATCCGAATGTCGCAGTTCAGTAAAGTCACTGGTCGCCAGTTCTTTATATTTGAGGGTTCTTTATCCTTTCCCTCAGCGTCTTGTTTCAGTAATAGGGAAATAAGTCCAATTTTTTGCGTGTCCGAGAGATGACCTAAGAAAAAGGAGTAGTTGAACGACTCTAACATAGGCTGTTTCAAAAGGTTATAAAATTCTTTGTAAAATTCCACGGGTAAACCGTCCAAACCAGGAGACTTCCCGGCCGAAAAGGATTCAATTGCTATTTTCAGTTCCCCTTCCCTTATTACACCCTCGCAGCCATCTCGTTGGTCATCGGATAAATACACAAATGATGGCTTGGGAAAAAAGCATTCAAACATTTCATTATCTAAAGATATCGGAGGTTCTTTAAAGGCATAGAGACCAGAGTAAAACATCATTTGTTCATTTAGAATATCTTGAGGTTCTGTTTTCACAGTTCCCTCGGAAGTAATAAATTTTGTCATGTTTTTTCTAGTTTGACCTCTTTCAACAAGATTCATGAAAAGTTTGGAGCATTTTTCTCCATGTTCCATCCACTTTGCCCTGCCACTCAAAATTAAACTAGTCGTCTTATTTTGATAAATCAATTCTAATTGTCGTCTCTTCTCTTGTAGACTTTGGAAAACCTCAATGTCGTATAACAGGTCTAACCTCTTTTGTAACCCATCGATCTCACTAATGAGAGACTGCTCCTTGTTTCTATTTGTTTTAAGTTTCCATGAGGAGAACTTAATTACATGCCCACGAACTGCACATTTAAAAGAGTCCCACACTGTATGTGGATTCGCTGACTTCCTATTAAATTCAAAAAACTCCTTGATAAAGGAAGATGTTTCCTTTATAAACTCTGGATACTGTAAGAGATCAATGTTAAACCTCCAAAAACCAGGGCCTCGGTGTACATCTGAATCAATCAAAGAGATCCCTATTAGCGCATGGTCTGATCTCAGGCTCTCCGCAATGACCACCTTATCTACAGAAGAAGTCAACGAAAAGGAAATACAAGGAGTAATCAATGCGGCTGGCCTGAGAACCACGGCGCCATGTGTAACGCACTGTTTTTGGATTCTTATACCTATATATATCTATCAAATCCAGCTTAGCACATAACGACTTAATAGCTTGGAGACAGTTAGGGTGATAATTTGAGTCCCTATGTCCCGTTCTATCCATTTGAGTGTCCAAAACTGTATTAAAGTCGCCTACAATAATTGTATGTTTTGCGGTGTCAGTACACTTTTGTATCTCATCTTCAAGATTAAGAAAGAAAGAAGGTTCGTCTATATTTGGAGCATAGATATTCGTCAAGCAGAACCGGAGTGAGTTGACTGTAATTTCCACTATCATCCATCTCCCCAAGTCGTCACTCAGTATTTGATGAATTGTATACAGAATATTTTCTTAAAAAGATTATTACGCCTCTGCTCTTGCTAGATCCGTTATTAAACAAAATTGGAGCCCCCCAGTCGGTTTGCCATTCTTCTTCATTTTTTCTGTACAATGGGTCTCTTGTAAACAGTAGATGTCATATGCTTTATCTCTTAACCATGTGAATATTTCCACTCGCTTTTTTTCGATCACCCAGTCCATTACAATTATAACTACCGATATTAATTTTTGATAAAGCCATGAGTATAGTAAACAAAACATAAACAAATCATATCCATCTGAAACAACAGAGGGCGTTCGCAAAAAGCAAGTATATAATAAACATACCCAAAAGTTTGACTAATAGTAATAAAGTAGTAAGGTTCCGTATAAGTAGATATATTTATAACTCAAATAATGTATGTATATCAATACAGCAACATACAAAAACAAAGAACCATGTGCCATGCAGACAAAAACAATATTTACATATATGTATTGTCAGGCTTGTGTGCATCCCGACAGAAAGGAATGACACACCTTGCTCACCTGGTCTGTCGGTCCTTTTGATATGGAAATTAACGTGGCATGTGTACCGTACTACCGTCCCGTACACCTGTTCTGGTACCTGCTTAGGATATTTCAAGCTGGTCACTACTAAATAGGAACAACACACACCAATATACAAACTAACTAAGAAAAATACGAACATAACCATACATATAGACGTAGCTTCACGAACTTGCATTGCTATTAATTGTAACAGCAACTTTGGCGGAGAAGTGGCTCCTTTTATGGAATTCTCTTTTTTTTTTATGTTAGAGCCATACACAATTCACTCCTGAAAAAGTCACAACCCATGAGAGTAAACAAGACATAAATATTAGGCCACATGTAACTTTATCCCACCATGCTCAAAACTCACAGGTTTCCTTTGCCATCTCTCCACAATCCGTTAAAGAATCGATACTTCAGGCCTTTCCCGTACGCCTCTCTGACTTGATCCCTCCATTTCCGTTTCTCTTGCAAGTCTGCCGTGGTCAGATCGTCCGTGAAGTAATAACCTTCATTCTTTAGCTTGACCCGTGCGACCTTCATGATACTTATCTTGTCCTGATAGCTGTTCAGCTTAAACAGGATATGCTGCGGTGTTCCGTCGCCGTCACTCTTGCTCTTCGGCCCGTCAGGATGCGCCCGCTCTATCTTAACTCGATCAAGACCAAACTTTTCATGTAAGATCTTTTCGACGGTCGTTAAACAGTTTTCCCCCTTCACCACTTTCCGGCCGATAATTCTTACATTGTTCCGTCTTGAAAACCGCTCCAACTTGTTGCTCTTGAGTTGCAGTTCTTCCACCAGTCCTTCAGTCGCCTTGAGTTTCTGTGTGATGTACTTAATCCGTTCGTCCGCGTCACGCTGGAATTCTACCACCTTAGCTTCCACGTCCTCGTTTTTCTTCTCTAGTTTCTCGAGACGACTCTCTAACAGTAACACATTCT